TTTCCAGTGGTCATGTATGGATGTGAGAGTTGGTCTGTGAAGAAAGCTGAGAGCTGAAGAATTGATGCTTTTGAGCTGTGGTGTTGAAGACTCTTGAGAGTCCCTTGGACTGCAAGGAGATCAACCAGTCCATCCTAAAGGAGATCAGTCCTGGGTATTCATTGGAAGGACTGATGCTGAGGTTGAAACTCCAATACTTTGGTCACCTCATGCGAAGAGCTGACTCATTGGAAAAGACCCTGATGCTGGGAGGGATTGGGGGCAGGAGGAGAAGGGGACGACAGAGGATGAGATGGCTGGATGGCATCACTGACTCGATGGGCTTGAGTTTGAGTAAACTCCGGGAGTTGGTGATGGACAGGGAGGCCTGGCATGCTGCGATTCATGGGGTTGCAAAGAGTCAGACACAACTGAGTGACTGAACTGAACTGAACTGAGAGATTCGTTCATTCATTTATTCATTCAACAGTGTTTACTGAGCCAGGCAGTGGTCTAGGCTCATGGAGTCAATAATGACCTAAAGAGATAAAGATCTATCTATTTCTGTCCTTTTAGTCTTTATCTGCATCATCTTAGTCAACAGACTCATCACAACAATTCCGCGATGTAGCTTTTATCTTTCCCATTTGATAGATGAGGGTGCTGAGACTCAAAGAGGTTATACCTCCCCCAAGGCCTCAGAGCTGGAGAGTGGTGAACCTGGGATTTGAATCCAGTTCTTTCGGATGCTGAAGTCCGTTCCCTATCCACAGTTTGATACTGCCAATCAAGGGAATAGCAAAAGCTGAAATTGTATGTGTTGGGGGGAGAGGAGGGGTATTCATTAATCCAGAAATCCAAGGTGTTGTCATAGTTGTCATTGTGACACAGCAGTGTTTGTGATCATCGACTTGCAAACTGCAAGAAGCTCTAGCTGTGGCTTCTCGACTTTGCCTTTGATCCAACCTGATGTGTCTTTGCCCTCAACAAAGACAGAAACTGTTAAGCTTAGGTTGATAACCAGGCAGAAACCCTGAACTCGGGTAGTTCGTCTCCAAGTCTGCCTGCTGAGAAACTAACCCCTGGGTGCCCTTCAGAGCCTGGACAAGGCCAGTGGGCACCATGCCTGTTCAGATGTTGTCCAGCCCAGGGACCTAGTGCTCAAATGTCAGTAATTTTGCACAGAAGGCGTGAAATGCTCTGGTCCGCCCGGGGCTGTGGGTGGGGATGCCCAGAGCTTCCGGCCCATTTGTTTAGGCCTCCTGCAAGCACTGGGAAGTAGCATCTCATGGCCACTGAAAGGGAGAAGGGAGAAGGCAGTTGGTCGTTGCAGTGGGATGTGAGAGTCCAAAAGTAATGCTCTTCTGGGTCAGGGTCTTGGTGGCCTCACTTTGTTTCTCGCCATCATAGCCAGCACTCTCTTTACAAGTCTGCTCGTTCATTCTATCCATTCCGAAGCTGTTCCATTGCATGCTGATTCCCTTGACATAAGCTCACAGGGCAAGGGCAGTGCAGTCAGGCGGGAAGGACATCACGGCAGCCATCAGGAGACCGGCCTTTGTCCTGGCTCTGCCCCAGCTGGCGGGCACACTGGGCAAGTGCCTTCCCTCCGGGGCTTCCCTCTCCTCACGCGTTAAGCAAAGGGGGCGGAACTCGATGGGGATATTTCCTGTGATTTCTCCTGGCTTTAAAATTGTGAGTTGTTTACTGAGTATTAGCCGAAGAATTGATGCTCTTGAACTGTGGTGTTGGGGAACTTTTGAGAGTCCCTTTACAAGGAGATCAAACCAGTTAATCCTAAAGGAAATCAGTCCTGAATATTCATTGGAAGGACTGATGCTGAAGCTGAAACTTCAATACTTTGGCCACCTCATGCGAAGAGTTGACTAATTGGAAGAGACCTTGATGCTGGGAAAGATTGAAGGTGGGAAGAGAAGGGGACAGCAGAGGATGAGATGGTTGGACGGCATCACCGACTCAATGGACATGAGTTTGAGTAGACTCCAGGAGTTGGTGATGGACAGGGAGGCCTGGCGTGTTGTAGTCCATGGGGTCTCAAAGAGTTGGACACAACAGAGCAGATTAACAACAATAAACAGCCCTAAAATGTCTTTGCCCTATATTCAGAGCCACATTTTCCCTTCTCCTTACGAGCAGCATTCCTTCTACTGCTTCAGTGCCTGTAAGAACAGTCCTTGATGTTTGATGACTCTGCTGAATGAATGAGTGGCTATCCAAGGAAATCATGAATGAATGAAACCACTATCACAAGCTTGTACAGCTTTCAGACTTTGGTTCTTAGTGTTTCAGTTTGGTTTGCTAGGAGGACTAGATAACCAGTACGGGGCATTTGAGTGGTGTGGGCACAGAGAAATCAATTTCTTTTCTTTCCCTCTCTTTTTTATTTTTTAAATTATGAAAGTTGATAACACATTTACAGGAGACTTGGAAAATACAGAACAAGGTTATATATAGTTCTACTATATATTACAATTATTTTTTAAGTAGATAAATTAAGACTTTTAGTTGGAGTTTCAGTGTCAAACTCTCCAAAAGTAATGAAAGTGAAAAGTGAAGTCACTCAGTCATGTCTGACTCTTTGTGACCCCATGGACTGTAGCCTACCAGGCTCCTCCATCCATAGGATTTTCCAGGCAAGAGTACTGGAGTGGATTGCCATTTCCTTCTCCAGCGCATCTTCCCAACCCAGGGATTGAATCCGGGTCTCTCACATTGCAGGGAGATGCTTTACCGTCTAAGCCACCAGGGAAGCCCAATAGAATGAATATAGAGAGGTAGAATATAGTGGGCCTGAAAAGCACTGTGAAACAATTCAACATAATTAAAATGTATATATTTTTCATACAACAGTAGGATACAAATTCTATTCAAGTTCCCATAGAGTATAAATCAGGAGATACTGGAACATACCCAGGGACATAAAACAAGGTGCAAAAATTTGATGGTCTAAAGATATTGAAATCATACAGAGTCTGTTCTCTTATCACTGTCGAATTATGTCAGAAATCAGTATTAAAAGATATTTGAAAATGACCAACATATTTTCAGGTGCTGTGTGACATTTACCAAGAGAGATCTTTGACTTGGCCATTGAAAGCCTCAGTAAAGTTAAAAGAATGAAAAAGCACAGAGAGTGATTGCAGAGGAGAAATCATTTAAATGAGAAATTGATATCAAAGATACTTCTAAAAATCCCATGCATGGAGAAGTCAGTGTGTAACTATTGTTGCTGGTAAATGCCCTGTTTTCTACAAATATGGAAGAGTATGCACAGAGTTTTGTCATCACCTTTTTTCAATAATGAAGATTTTTTTTCCTCATCACTAATATTCTCTTATTTAGTTTTAATGGCAGCATCCTATCTATTGTAGGGTTTACTGTACTTTATTTAACCAATCCCTTAATTTTACACATTAAGTCCATTCAGGTTTCTCCATATTATAATCAACATATCTGAATATTCTAATTTACTTTGAAAATAAAATATACAGGCATGTCTCATTTTATTGCACTTTGTTTTGTTGCCCTTTTTTCCCCCCCAAATTAAAGGTTTGTAGTTACCTGCATTGAGCAAGTCTCTTGGTGCCGTTTTTCCAAAAGTATCTACTCCAGTCCCTATGATATGTTTTGGTAATTCTCACAATATTACAGACTTTTTCATTATTATCATACTTGTCATGGTGCCGTGATCAATGATCTTTGACAGTACTGTTTTGTTTTGGCCTTTTTAGCAATAAAGTATATTTTAATTACAGTATGAAGATTATTTTTTAGTCATAGTGCTATTACTGCATGCTCGTGCTATGCTCAGCTGCTTCAGTTGTGTCCGACTCTTTGGGATCCTGTGGACTTTAGCCCGACAGGCTCTTCTGTCCATGGGGTTCTCCGGGCAAAAATACCAGATTGTGTTGCCCTGCCCTTCTCCAGGGGATCCTCCCAACCCAGGTATTGAACCCGCATCACCTGTGTCTCCTGCATTGCAGGAGGATTCTTTATCCACTGGGAAGCCTGTTGCGTGCTTAGTAGACTACAATATAATCTAAGATCTTCCGGACCCAGGGATCGAATCTGCGTCTATCACGTCTCTTGCAGTGCCACCTGGGGAGCCCATAACTTTTATATGCACCGGGAAACCAAAAAAATTTATGTGACTTGCTTTATTATGGTGGTCTGGAATAGAACCCACAGTATCTCCAAGGTATGCCTGCATTGCTTTGTAACAGGAGAGATGTTTTCAGTAAATAATACTGACCTCATGACACAATGGGCCCTGCCTGCTTCTCAAATGGTGGATGAGGCTATGGGAGGGCCAGGTGGAAGCGGCAAGTGGGAGGCACCCTTTGCTTGCCACCTGCAAAGAAATGGTGATCACCCTCAGTTATGGCGTCAGCAGAGGAGAGGAAGGCTGTTTTCACACATCCAGAGCACTTCATCTTTCCTCTCGTGAGCAGAACCAAGAGAAAAGATGAAGCTGGCTTACATGGAAGAGGACCCAGCCACAGATTGGAGGCCTGGGTTGAAGCTTCCCTCTGCTGCCTGGCCTCAGAGCGAAAACTGAACCTCCTGGACCAGGGTTTATTTTTCAGTGAATGGGAGTGTTAATGTTATCATTAGTATTGCCTGCCTTTCCATCACTGGTTTGGAAGTTAGAAGTGGGAGAGCTTGTGAGCCGAAAAGGAAATCATAGGCCCAAGGTTAATTTGAAGCCTTAAAGCAAATGTTGTGCAGAAGTGAACCCCTGAGAATATGGACTCACTAGATCTGTGTGTGCTGTTTGTCTCTGGAGCTGTGACCTGGAATACATCTAGAGTTAACAGTGGTTTTTGAGAAAATCCTTGCCTTACACAGCACCCCTATGAACAAGAAGCAGAAGCAGTAATTCCACCCTCCACTTTGTGCATGTTTTTCAACTCCTAATCCTTGCCAGATGCAGACTGGCGGGGAGCCCAGGCGGGGAGTGCTTTCTGATAGAGCTCGTTTTGTTCCTGTCTCCCTCCTAGACAAGGAATTCCTGAAGGAAAAGGAGAAGTTAGAGATGGAGTTGGCGGCCGTGCGGACTGCGAGTGAGGACCACCGGAGACACATCGAGATCCTAGACCAGGCTCTGAGCAACGCCCAGGCCAGGGTCATCAAGCTGGAAGAGGAGGTGAGCCCGCGGGAGGATCGGGGGGTACAGGGGGTGGTGCCCAGAGTCCCAAGGGCCTCCATGTCCGTTTCCTAACCCAACAACTTTAACCAGAGCCAACTCCAGGGGAGCAATGTAGGCGACCTCTCAAATAAAAACGAATAAAAACAGAGCTGATTCACCCCAGAGTCGGGCAAAAGATGAGAGGCAGTGGTGAATACCGTCAGCAAAGAGCTCAATCTCAGCGATAAACCCAGGCTGCCGCCCACTGCCTGGCAGGTGTCCAGGGGCTGGAAATAAATGGAAGGACTGGGAACCACTGGTGCTTGTGGAGAAAAGAGACTCAATTAAGAAAACAGTTCAAGTGTTGTGTCTTTGGGCTCTCTCGTGCATAAAAAAGGCCCAGTCTTCTGACTGGGTGGGGTAGGAGTGGTGTTCTGCAAACCTGTCTCCGGTTTTTAGAAGTTGGCTCAGTTAGCAATGACCACCACCCTTCCCGCCCCTCCAGTCCAGGAAATATTGATGCTGCTCAAGCATTATGGGCTTAGTGCTTTTTTGATGAAATCAAGCCTTTAGGTGAACTTTTGAGAAGTAGAAAGTAAAAGCGTTCATCTCTTAGTTGTGACTGACTCTTTGCAACCCCAAGGACTGTAGCCCACTAGGCTCCTCTGTCCACGGAATTCTACAGGCAAGGATACTGGAGTGGGATACTGGAGTGGATACTGGAGTGCCATGCTCTCCTCCAGGGGGATCTTCCCGATCCAGGGATCGAACCCCAGCCTCTCACCTTGTAGGCAGATTCTTTACCATCTGAGCCACCAGGGAAAAACTTTTCCTTTAAGCCTGACCAGGGAAGGAGAATGGCCACTTCTGAGGCCCCAGTTCCAGGATCCAGGCTGTAGATAGCGCAGCACAGAGGAGCCGGCTGCACAAGCCCCTGTGTGGTGGGGCTGAGCTGAACAGACCTGTTGTGGAGAGCAGGAACTGGAAGTCAGAGAGACACATGACTAAAATACACTCCACCAGAACCCAGCTGGTGCTTGACACACAGCATGCAGTATTGTTACTAATCTAAGTGCTTTTATTCTTGTTGAAAATGAAAAACTGTTCCTTCCAAAAACATCTCCTGGTGCCAAGTGACTCCAGTGTCTCAGCAAACTTCAACTTCAAGCCTGAAGCAGTTAAAGGCAAAGATTGTTAAGTCAGTAGTAGTTGTTTTTCAGTTGCTCAGTCATGTCATGTCAGACTCTTTGCAACCCCATGGACTGCAGCACACCAGGCTCCTCTGTCCTCCACCATCTCCCAGAGTTTGCTCAAATTCCTGTCCATTGAGTTGGTGATGCTGTCTAACCATCTCATCCTCTGCTGCCCCCTTCTCCTCCTGCCCTTAATCTTTCCTAGCATCAGTCTGTCCCAGTGCATCGGCTCTTCCCATTAGGTGGCCAAAGTATTGGAGCTTCAGCATCAGTCCTTCCAGTGAATAGTCAGGATTGATTTCCTTTAGGATCGACTAGTTTGATCTCCTTGTAGTCCAGGAGATTCTTAAGAGTCTTCTGCAGCATCACAATTCAAAAGCATCACTTCTTTGTCCTTCTTTATGGTCCAACTCTCACATCTACATAACTACTGGAAAAACCATAGCTTTGACTATATGGACCTTTGTCGGCAAAGTGATGTCTCTGCTTTTTAATACACTGTCTAGGTTTGTCATGGTTTTCCTTCCAAGGAGCAAGCATCTTTTAATTTCATGGCTGGAGTCAGCAGTGATTTTGGAGTCCAAGAAAATAAAATCTGTCACTGCTTCCACTTTTTCCCGTTTTATTTAAGTCAATAGGGTTTTGTCCATTAGACCTATCCTGTTAAACCCCACAAGTATTATGTACAGTTTTTTCCTAGCAACGTATACTTAATTTTCTCCCCCCCCCCCCCCCCCCCGCCTCCCATTTTTTGGCCATACCATGTGTCATGTGGGATCTTAGTTCCCCAACCGGGGATCAAACCCATGCCCCCTGCAGTGGACGTGTGGCATCTTAACCACTGGACAACCAGGGATGTCACCATGTACAGTTTTAATGCTAGCATGAGTATCTCAGGCAGCAGCCCCAGAGCTTTCCCTGTCACCACCAAGCAGCTCATTGAATAGGAAAACATTTGCTACAGAAAGTGACCTTAACGCCTGAAGGACAGGAGGTCCGCTTTGAGCGATGGAGGCTGGGACTCATTATCAGTATAACTAAGATCATTTCTCAAGGGCCCATCTCCATGTGTGGAGTGAAGAAAAATGATTATTTTTTAAGCTTTTTCTGTTAATATTTCTATTAAAGCCAAAGCTGCGAACTCCTTGAAGACAGGTTCTTTATAATCGCCACTATGGATCTTCCCTTGTCATTATATTTATACAAGATCTTTGCTTGACTGATTGTACATAACTTCTCCAAAATGGCTTATGTGTCTGGCTTCCAGTATCCCTCCTTGTTCTTATTAAAGAAGGGTGTTCAATACAGTATACTAATGCATATATATGGAATTTAGAAAGATGGTAACGATAACCCTATATGCGAGACAGAAAAAGAGACACACATGTATAGAACAGACTTTTGGACTCTGTGGGAGAAGACGAGGGTGGGATGATCTGAAAGAATAGTATCGAAACATGTATATCATCAAGTGTGAAACAGATCACCAGCCCAGGTTGGATGCATGAGACAAGTGCTCAGGGCTGGTGCACTGGGAAGACCCAGAGGGATGGGATGGGAAGGGAGGTGGGAGGGAGGTGGGAGGCGGGTTCAGGATGGGGAACACGTGTAAATCCATGGCTGATTCATGAAAATGTATGGCAGAAACCACTACAATATTGTAAAGTAATTAGCCTCCAACTAATAAAAATAAATGAAAAAAAAAAGGAAAAAAAAATTTAAAAATGTTTTATGTCACATTGAAAGATTATACTGTGAGGAAGCAAATGCTTTTAGAAATTATCAGATGTATTAATAATTTGCCAATCTACAGAAGGTTGGTATGGAACAGTTAAAAAAAAAAAGAAAGAAGGGTGTTAGTTCAGATGGCTCACACTGGCGGCTTACCGTAACTTTCCACAATGCTGAGTGCTTGGACATTAAAGGCAGACCACGTGAGTTAGGATCCTGACCTCAGGACTGGTAAATCAGCTGTGTGACCTTGGGTGAATCACTAACCTATTCAGTCCTCAGTTTTCTTATCTGTTAAATCGAGATAGTAAGTGTTTACCTTCTACTGTCACTCGGGCGGATTAAATGAGATACTGCAAATAAAGCACAAGGCTTGGCATGCTGTGCTTGCAAGATGTTGGGTGATTAATTACTGTTATGCCTAATCACCCTCATCATTACATACTCCTTGCTGGGCTTAGGACTGTTACAAGGGTGAATGAGAGAGAACCTTGTCTTCAGGAATCCTGCAGTTAGTTAGAGTTAATATTAATTCATTCTTTTAACAAATATTTACTGAACTGGATGGCAGGTACTGTCCCAAGACTTGGGGACATACTGCGCACTCTGCCCCAGGGAGACAGATCTTGTAGTACTTAGTATTTTAGGGGCTACATACTCAGAACAGTATACAATCCAGGACATGGTAAGTGGTATATGAACAGTCCTCACAAGATATTCTATCAGATGAGGGTTTTCTAACACAGGAACCTGCAGTCAGTAGGTCCTCAAGCAACCAGAGTCACAGTGAATGAAAAGCCAGAGGAAAACTGAGCCCAAGAGCAGGTGTGGAAAAGGCTGTTGCTGTCTGCACTCCCTGCAAAAGGTCAGAAGCCTCTCCTTTCTTTATCGCAGTGGCTTTGGCTAGGACACAGGCATTGGTCCCGGCAGGACTGCCTGCTGAAGTCAGACACCGACCTTCGCAGGGAGCAAGTACTTTAATCACTAGCATGTTCCAGCTTGCCAGTGCAATCGGGTTGAACTCAGGATGAGTTCAAGTGTCTGTACACTGAGGTGCAGAGTGACAGGAAATAGCATCTGGTGTCTTCTCACCCAGGACCAGATCAGATCAATGCCTCAGTCTGATTTTTGGCCCCAGCCAATCCCCAGCAAGTTAGAAATGTGCCTGGAATTTATGAACATGGACCAGACACCTAATTGGGAGAAAACAAACTCTGAGGGTAAGAATTTGAAGCTGTTGATTGATGGTTCTAAATCCATACCTGACATGACATTTATATAAATCATTTTTACCTTAATCTGCGTCTCCTCAGTTATTGTGTGGTTTGCATGTTCATTAGGCCCTTCCTTCTCTCCAGGGCTGTCAGCTATTCATCCCTAAAGGGCTTGGAAATCTTTAGGAGAAAGTTAGTTCCAAATATCTATAATAAGAAATGTTTATACACAAATGGATACACATGCATATATACATACAGACACAATCTCTGTTACAGTAGTAATTGATACTTATAGAAAATTTGAAAAATAAAGAAGAGTAAAGAAGATGAGAAATTATTATTCTGCTCTACAGGTAAACACAATTAATGCTTTCATTTCCTTTTTGCATACATTGATGATAGACATAGTTGTGATGATGTTGTATATAACTTTTGATTCTAGATTTTTCAGTTAACATTATCGAATAATCATTTACTCATGACACTTAAAAATTCTTTATTAACCTCATTTCCAATGCCTGTACAAGCTGTAATTACTAAGCAATAACCAAGGATTGAGCTCAGAGCTGTATAAATGACCGAAAGCTGGTGCCCTCTTAGGGTCTTCAGTTGAGAGCATCCCAGCCGTTTTAGGTGTAACTGCTGGCCTTGGCCTAAATCTTTTCTGTTTCAGCATGGCTTAGGTATAGGAGTGGGGAAAGGACAGCATCTCCAGGTGCTTTGACCTTCTCTCCTCCCCCCGCCCTCACCTCCACCCCAGCTTTGAGAGACACTGTCTAAATCCCGTGCTCCTTGTTACTCTGCTCAGCTCCGAGAGAAGCAGGCATATGTGGAGAAAGTCGAGAAGCTGCAGCAGGCCCTGACCCAGCTGCAGTCGGCGTGTGAGAAGCGCGAGCAGATGGAACGGCGGCTGCGCACCTGGCTGGAGCGGGAGCTGGACGCCCTGCGGACCCAGCAGGTGAGGGGCGGGGCGGGGCGGCGCATGCGTGGGGCGGCGCCTGCGGCCGGCGGGCTGCGCTCTGCGCTCTGCGCTGGGAGCTCAGGGCTAGTGAGAGCGTCTGTTCTCGGCGGTCCAGTCCCTTGGAGGGACAGAGGTCCTTACAGAAAGCAAGCAGGGACCCTGGGGGCTGGGCATGGGGGAATGCAAGTATAGACGGCTTCACAGAAGACAACTTTTGAGTAGGACTCGGAGAGATGAGCTTGTTGGCCATTCTGCGAGAAGCATCAGAGATAGAGGAATTAAGTGCCTAGAGGAGAGAGCTGTGAGACACGCGGTGAGTCCAGTACAGCCGGGGGAGCGTGCCCAGGGAGCTGGCTGGTCAGGAGGCAACTGCCAGTTTGTGGAGGGCGTTTGCTCAGGTTGGGAAAGTGGATTCTTTTTTTCCCCGCGTAGGATCAAGGGAGGAGCCCTCCAGTGGTGTCAGAGGAGGGGCTGGAGGGTCAGGTGTCAAAGTCAGGAAGGCCAGCCTGAAGGCTCTTAGTGTCTTCAAGGGTGTAGATATGGTGGGAGTCAGGGTGGGGGGCACCTAGAATGGGGGTGAGATAAGACGGACGTTACCATCAGTGAGTTTTCAGAGGTCAAGGACAAAAGGAGCCAGGACAGTCCCGAAAGCTAGTATTGGCCATAGGTGCTTAGTCCTTCTGCTGCTCCCTGTTTCCCTGGATAACAGCTGTTCCTATAATGCAGCTATGAAGAAGCTCAGATGAAAACACCCCAGCCCAGGGTCCATGTGGGCCTCGACAAGGGCAGAAATCCTCCAGCTGGGCCAGACTCCTTTACAGGCTAGTTAGGGACTCCTGGCATGTCATCGGCCAGCGCTTTGGGCCGAACCCTCTGTGCAGCTGGTGAAGGGTGTGCTGTAAGTTTGGAACCAGGGAAATGCGAAACAAGGCTCCATGGAATTATCTAGGGGACAGTGCGTAATGGTTATGGTTGAAACACTTGAAAACGCTTGAAAGCACATGCTCAGGCCAGTTCAGCCCTTTCTCGTGGCAACGCACACAGCTCCCTCTGCGCATGTGTACTTGGCCGGAGATGGAGGTGTTGGCGAGATTGCCCAGAAAATTCAGGAGCCTACCCAGGCCCCCACCAACTTGGCTTCTTAGGAGGAAGTGAGTCTGTCTCTGGACTTCCGATCTGTCTAACATGTGCCACATTCCCCAGCATTTCAGGGCCACCTTTTGGCTGTTCTCTGTTGCTCAGTTATTGAGATCTTAAGCTTCCCAACTGAAGGGTAGGCTCTCTGGTGCCCGGGACTGTGCCGGCACCTGGTGGGTATTTACGAGTTTCTGGCTGACAGAATAGGCACATCTTAGTACTCAGAGCAAAAAAGAATGTTCCTTTCCAGTTAGCGTTCATCCACACCTACAGTTAAATTACTTACCCCTGGATCTTCTATTTTGAGTGCTGCGAAACCAGACTCTTCATTTCAGCTCCTCTATGTATTCTCAACCATCTCTCCCCCACTGATTACTCTCGGGATTTTTGTCAGTGGTATTGCTGTTACAGACTACTCTAATGAGCTGCCTTTTTACATGTCTCCTTGCTAAAGAATGTGAGAGTTTCCCAAGAGGATATATCTAAAAATGGAATTTCTGGATAGCGAATGCATATGCTAAACATTGCTAGATATTGCCAAATTGCTCTACAAAGTAAATGTACCAATTTCTTATCTGAAATGTATAAGAATATCTTCCTGTACATTATCAACAACATTTAGTTTTGCACGATGTCTTTTTCTTTAAAAAAAAAAAAAAGAAGAAAGAAACCAGACTCAACTCCATTATCCTTGTTATATATCCAGAAGAAATGTGAAATTAACATTATTTGGAAATATCTCTATTGCCACAGAGGCCTGTTCCCATATGCACACTTAGACCCTTGCACAGTCACATCCATTTTTTCCTTAGACCAGCAAACACAACATTCCCACTGTACATAAAGTCAGCTGCCAGATTTAGGCTACCTGAGGAGGACAGAGGGCTTCCTGGGTGGTGCAAGTGGTAAAGAAGCCACCTGCCAAAGCAGGAGACGTTAGAGACGCAGGTTCCATCCCTGGGTTGGGAAGATCCGCTGGAGGAGGGCATGGCAACCCACTCCAGTATTCTTGCATGGAGAATCCCATGGACAGAGGAGCCTGGTAGGTCCAGTGGGTTGCAAAGAGTCAGACACGACTGAAGCGACTTAGCTTTGCATGCACACACTGGGAGGATGGAAGTTTCAGAATTGGGACTCTTCAAGTATTATGCGGCTTACAGTTTGGACTTGTCTTTGGAGGGGTAGCAGACCCCAGCTGTGTGTGGCTGACATGAGACCAGAGAAAGGGGAAACAATCTTTAAGCAGAACTGCCCAGCATTTCTTTACATTAATATTATGGGGGGAGGGGGGAGGGTTGTTGTTTTTTTAATGATAGTGTTAATCCGTCTCCTCTGTTGTGAAAGGAACTTGAGGATTTCCCTACTTTTCCCTACTCATTAAAAAGATAATTTTAAAAAATTTTTTTCCTTTAATGCTTCATTTTCTCAGTGAGCATGCTCCCTAGTGGCTCAGACAGTAAAGAATCTGCCTGCATTGCAGGAGACCCAGGTTCAATCCCTGGGTCAGGAAGATCCCCTGGAGAAGGGAATGGCAACCCACTCCAGTATTCTTGCCTGGAGAATTGATGGAAAGAGAAGCCTGGCAGGCTATAGTCCATGGGGTCGCAAAGAGTCAGACACGACTTACCAACTAACACTTCACATACCAGAAAAGGCAAAAATGTTGTCACAAAGAAATCCACCAGAACACCGTGGGGTTTTAATAGTTCCATGTGGCAGATACTATGTAGATTGTTCCGGTTCCTGCCTGGAGTCTGTGAATAAGTGTGGCAATCACAGTTCTGTTGACCCCCAGCAGGGATGACCAGCATCCACTCTGGAGTGTGGGGTCACCCGAGGAACTCATACTCTGATCTGCTTCCACCTCATTCACTGTGAGGAGCTCACGCATCTGCCCGCCCAGGATATGGGCAGTCCACGCTGCACCCAGCTCCTTCACCCCAGTGCCACTGAAGGAAGTATTTATCTGACCCCATCAGAAGGCATACTGAGGTTACACAAAAGAAATAAAGCTCCCAGCCATCTCTCTCTTCAACAAAGCAGTAAGGTCACACTGCCCACCTTCCGCATAGAGAGTCATTCTGAAAGGACCTTTGAGAGAACAACTTAGAGCACATTTGAATCAACTACCCCGCAGAAGGGCTCTGCCTTTAGACACACACCAAGACACTGCTGACTCTCTCCGCCCAGCCCTCTAACACCGAGGCCCAGATGAGCTCTGTTATTCCTGCAGGGTGCCCTGGAACCTTCCAGAAGGATGGTTAGACTGGAGGTGAGCAGAGTGGCACAGAATCGTAAATCAGTCCAGACCATGGACTCTGAGGTTAGGCTGACCAGTGTTGAACACTGCCTTTGTCTATTGAAAAAGTAATCTGTCTGAGCCTTCACTTCCTTGTCTCTAAAGTGGGGGACATAAATTATACTTACCATATACTTGTAACTACAAATAAGAGAATCTGCACAAAATCCTTACAGTGATTGACACTTAGCAACTGATGAAGGAAGAATAACTGTCATTGCTGTTTTTTCTCATCATTACCTTCAGAGTCGTTTGATCGCCCAAGGCAGGCATCTTTGGTGCCCAACTTTCCCAATGCCACTGAAATAAAAAGTGACAAATGTGGCTGGACTGAGAAGACAGAAGAGGAAGACAGGTCAAGATCCTAGGACCAGCAGGAAATAGCAGCTCTCCACGAACAGATTCTTTTTTTAGAAGTCATCTCCCTCTACTTTGGGAGGCAAAGTGTAGTACTCAAACATCATTAGAAGTTGGGAGAAAGTGAAATAGAGTAACGGTAAAAAGGGAAGGGAAATTAAAATTTTTAGAACTCACAATCTTCTCTTTCTTGAACAGAGCTCAAGTGGTCTTAGGAGGTAGAAGAGAGAAGGGGAAATATTCTTTTTTTAAAAATGGACTGACATTTTTGCTTTGGTTGCACTGGATCTTCATTGCAGCGCACAGACTTTCTCTAGTTGCAATGAGTGAGAGCAACTCTTGGTTGCGGTGCGTGGGCTTCTCGTTGGTATGGCTTCTCTTGTTGCGGAGCACAGGCTCTAGGCGCGTGGTCTTCAGTAGCTGCAGCACGTGGGGTCAGTAGCTGTGGCTCTCAGGCTCTAGAGCACAGACTCAATTGTGGTGCACTGGCTTAGTTGCCCCGCGCCATGTGGAATCTCCCAGGAACAGGAATTGAACCCGTGTCCCATGCATTGGCAGGCAGATTCCTATCCAGTGGGCCACAAGGGAAGTCTAGGGGAAATATTCTTGAAGAGCAAAATGAGGTCCAGGGCAGCTGAGAGACCAGATCAAGATCAAGGAGCTAATTAGGACATTTCTCCCAGGTGAACACATTGAGGGCAAAGATTTTCTCTGCATTGTTCCCTGTGATATCCCCTTTACAGAGTGCATGCTTAGTAAATATCTGGTGAATAGCTGAACGGGCTACAGAAGCTGGCCTGCCTGACCCTTCGTATGTTTCTCTGGCCAACATACTTACCCATTAGATTGTGCTATCTCTGAACACTTGAGTGTTGAAATGCATGTATTTGCTCAAATAGCTCTTAACCTGAGCAGGTCACCAGCCTGAGATGCAACACAAGGGATTTGGACAGAAACTGAAAGGCAGCTCTCCTATGGACCCAGATGGAGAGAAGGGGCTGGGAAATGAGCTTAACTTGCATCAGAGGTTTCCCAGTAGCACTTTGTTTAGCCCTTTAAAGTGTATTAAGTGCTTTCCTAGTTATTGTCCTATTTGATTGCCTGGCTTCCACGTGGGGTAGGTGTTAATTTCTGTTTCCCAGCGGACAGCGGTGAGGCTGGGCAAGCATGCCCTCAAGGCAGGGGTCCCCAGCCCCGGGGTCTAATGCCTGATGATCTGAGGTGGAGCTGATGTAATAATAAGAGAAATAAAGTGCACAATGAATAAATGCAGTGTGCTTGAATCATTCCGAAATCATCACCCCCAGTCTGTGGCCGTCTTCCAGGAAACCAGTCCCTATGCCAAAAAGGTTGAGAACCACTGCCTTAGGGCACCTCACTCCTACTTCCTGGGCCTCCCTTCTGACTCCCAGCCTCAGGGGAAGCAAACAGCTGAATCATTTCCTTGAACTCTGGAGAAAATGCCTTAGACCCGGAGGCCCAGTCTTCTTCTTGTTCTTACTCTTGGGATAAATCAACTGGGAGACCTTGGACAAAGGCACTCCCTGACAGGTGAAGCTGCATGTAGCCAGACAGACTTCTGGTTTAAATCCTGAACCTGCTTAAGAGTGGCCTTAGAGACACAGAACAGTGCATTCAAGCTCCCTCAACAGCTTAGTTTTCCCCGTCTGCAAAATTGGGATCACATTGTGCGTTTGGTAGAGTTCCAGGAGAATTAAATGAGCTAGAGGAACCGGACATAGCGGTTGACTGGTGTGGGGATCCACCCGTTAGGGTTACCTGTGCTGGAGAGGAGGCAAGGGCGTGTGGATGCGTGTGAAACGCGCCCCAGGACCTGCGTGAACCGCGCGCGCTCCCCGGGGGAGCTCTGCCCACACGCGGTCTCCTTGGCAGCGCGGTTCAGCATCGAGGTGTTATTTCTTCCGCTTCTCCAGAAACACGGCAACAGCCAGCCGGCCAGCCTGCCGGAGTACAACGCCCCGGCGCTCATGGAACTCGTGAGGGAGAAGGAGGAGCGCATCCTGGCGCTGGAGGCCGACATGACCAAGTGGGAGCAGAAGTACGTGGAGGAGAGCGCCATCCGCCACTTCGCCATGAGCGCCGCGGCCACCGCCGCCGCCGAGAGGTAAGGCTCGGAAAACACAGTGCAAAGAAGCACAGGGTGTCCGGAGGGGTTCACGGGTGCATCCCAGGGAGTGGGACCGGTTAAAAATAATTGCAAAGTGGCTGTACTGCTAGTTGGAGAGCAAGGTGTGGTGTAAGATTTCTGGAGAATGAATTCAGTAATCTATCCCTCTTCTTTGGAGGACTCACTGGAAAAGACCCTGATGCTGGGAAAGATTGAGGGCAGGAGGAAGAGGGGGCGACAGAGGATGAGATGGTTGGATGGCATCATTGACTCAGTGGACATGAGTTTGAGTAAACTCCAGGAGTTGGTGATGGACAGGGAAGCGTGCCTGCTGAGGACAAATGGGGTCACAAAGAGCTGGACATGATTTAGCAATTGAACACCACCACCTCTGCTTTGGTTCCACAATGCTGGTTCTCAACATTTCTCTTAGGGAAATCATTGTATAAGTGCCTGAAGACCCATGTCCAAGGACGTTCATCTCATTGTGGTTGAAAACATCAATACATTTAAAACAGAGTAGAGCCCAACAAGTGGGAGTCATTCAGTACTTTAAAGTCCATCAGTTCAGCAGAGTACTATGTGGTCTTTGAAGAATGATGCTGAAAAAGCATCATTACTTTATCATATACTTTATGCTCTTTTTAACAGTGGGTATGTTTCATGGGCCAGACAAGAACATGCAATCCTCATAACAGCCCTGAGAGTGAGGACTATTATTATTCTCATTTTGCAGGTGAAGAATTGAGGCTTAGAGAGACACAGTGGTAGTAAGTGGTGGGCCCACCCGTCAAATTGAAATTTGTCTGGCTTAAAGCCTGATTTCACTTGGTTTGAAATGGTTTTCCATGGCTATCAGTTACCACCTCTCTTGCTTTATTTCCTTTGTTGTGGGTGCACAGCCTTACTCTTTATATAAAAATTAGGTCAAAATGCTCGATAATTCACACGATAATTCTGTTAGGTTCTACCCTTGTCTGAATGAGCAGGTTGTTTCCCTCAACTGCTGCACCTCGCCTGCATGCACTTCTGCTGCACTGGCCTGCAAGGCTGTCTGCTCTGCTAGTCTGGATTCTCACCACCCTCCTTTCTGCCCATAAGTCATGTTGGGCATTGAATTCAGAGTTGTCTAGAATTTACCAAAAATTTGAGTCAGCAAGTCAGCATATTTGGCAGAGCGCCTCAGATTTTAAAGGAGCATCCATAAAACTGGACTAAATAAGGGTTGTTGCACCATTTGGGGATGGTAGGTTGTGAACCAGGCAAGAGAAGAGAACGCTGTTGTTAGTTAGCCCTCCACTTCTTGGGCTGTGTGATTTCTTCTCGAATGAGGTAGAGAAGGTCCCTTGTGGTTCGGGGGAGATACTTTATGAGCTGAGCGTGGGCCGTCATGTTCATTACCCAGGTAGAGAATTGCTAGCTGAATGCCCAGGTCGCACCTCCAGGAACTCAGAGACCAGTGCTACCCACATGGGCACAGATGCCTCCTCTGGGCGCTCAGCACACTTGTACCTGCAGACCCAAGTGGAAAGTGACTATTTGGGGATCCTTTATTAGTGCTCAAGTGTTGATTCTGTATGTCTGTGCTGTGAGGGAAACCAGCCCACAGCGTCCCCTCTGAGTGTGTCTTTGGGAGTGGAACTAGGCATTCAGGATGTGTATCGATCTCTTGGTGAGTTGTAGCTCCAGCCCTGGAGGAAGTTGCAGCCTCAGGCCAGCCCTTGAAATGTGTGAGTGACACTGGTGAAACCCTTGGAAACATTTCTTGATTTTTGACATAACTAAAATGTTTTTCATCTTCAGCTCTTCGTTTTCTGAGCTAATACCTAAATCACCTCTGGATCCCGAGGCAGAGAACAACCCATCATAAAGTTGCATGGCGGGATGTGGCCTTGTTTGCCAGCTTACCAGTGGCTGCCCTGGGAGTTGTCTCTCTGCATGACTTTTGATGGAAGGAACACCGAGTGGGCAGGCAGGGCATTCATTTTCAGCCCTTCTGTCTCACCTGCATGCACTTTCACTGCGCTGACCTGCAAGGCTGTGCGTTCTGCCAGTCACGGCTCTCACTGCCTGCTTTTTGCCCACTCTAGGTGTGTGACTGCACAAGGCCTTTCTGAGCATCACTTACTTTATTCAGAAATTACCTAATTTCTGAAATGGAAATTACAATTATTGACTGGTGATGTGCAAGGAAGCAGACTGTATTCCCCTGGCTGAGGACACCGAAACCCCAATAGCGCTGCCTTGAAAGCATGACCCAAGGCTGTTATGGGTCATTGTTGTCTCAACTCTTGATTTATCACATTAGATGCACACTTGGAATCCCTAGGAGGGCTTCGCTGATGGCTCAGAATTCACCTGTCAATGCAGGAAACTCAGGTTTGATCCCTGGGTCAGGAAGATACCCTGGAGAAAGAAATGGCAACCCACTCCAGTATCCCTGCCTGGGAAATCCCGTGGACAGAGGAGCCTGGTAGGCTCTAGTCCATGGTGTTGTGAAAGAGTTGGACAGGACTAAGCAACTAACAGCATTCAAAAGAAAAAAAAAAAGAGGGGTTCTGGAGACAAATGGGACTGGAAAGTAAAGTCAGAAGTAGGGAATGGAACAGGTCTGGGGCATGAGATTGCTCAGAGGGCACAGGTCGGGGGTGGAGGAGTGTTGTGAATCGAACCAGCCAGAGCCCACAGTCAGCCCCAGCCCACTATGTTAGCCCCAGCCTTGGCCGTCTGTCATCCTTCGAGCAGGGGAAACGCCTCTTGCTCTCAGACAATAATCCCGTTGGATTTACCCAGCCTTGTTGCTCTCTTCCTTAGCTCTGTTTAAAGTCCCGGATGGATGAATTCGTAGGTGGATGGGGACTCTTTCCACCGTCCCTCCCTTCCCCTTTTTTTTGCTTCTACATGTGATTACTGAGCATCTAATAATTCCGTGGGAAACTTCCCTCCCTTCTACTGACCACTGCTTCCCCCAGTCTTAGGAAAAATCAGTTCAGAGGAGGTCATATTTGTAACTCCTGTCTTACTGTTCTTTCCAAAGAAAACCTCTGTAGTTTAGCATGGCTTTCCTGTTAACAAAAAGGGAGAAAAGGAAAATGAAGAATTTTTTAGAAAGGTCAAAATTCTGAGCTCTTATTGCTGAGATGCTAAATGGCTATGTAAGAACTGGCAAAAATGACTATTCCCAGCCATTAACTTAGTGACTTTGCAGCCACTGCTGCATACTTCATGTTTATAGGCAGTGTGATATTTGTGTACCAACTGATTTTACCATCATGATGCATTTTTGGCACCAGTGATCACAAGTTTGAGAGGCTTGGCTCTTTTGTGTGGGTGGGGAAGTTTTGAAACTTTTTAAACATTTCAGAGCAATGTAATATTTTGTTGAGAGTTGTGTGTGTGTGCCTTCTAAGTTGTATTCATCCAATTGTACCTCCTGTCCTTGATAGTATAAATATGAATTTTTTAATCTATTTCCAGTAAATTCTCTAAAAATAAATCAGTTGAAAATGTTTCTGGCTCTAATTGCCTGTATTGATGACTTTTGAGCACCATGGAGTGAATTTATAATTGGGTCAATATGTGTAAAGCGCTCTGCTGGCTCCCTGTGTTATCAGGCATTTTGATTTGTTTTAGTCAGTTTGCACTTGGCCGCATTCTCCCGTGTGCCCTTTTTGTTGGTTTATCTTATCATTCGTGTACCTTTGCTGAGGTCTCTTCATAAAGACATGGGACACTCAGGAGTGTGAAGTGATGGTTAAGAGCATGGACTTTGGTTTTTTTTTTTTTTTTTTGAGCATGGACTTTGGAGTCAGAGATTTCTGAATTTGAATCCATCTGCCTTCACTAACTGGGTGCTCTTCCAAACTCACTCATTTGTTCATCTGTAAAATGAGGATAATAATGCTTACTGCCCAGGTTCCTGAGAGAGCTACATGAGATACCTCGGGTAATGTGCTTCACCCAGGTCTGGGCATGATGAAACACTCCCTCATGCACACATGCAAGAAGGCCCCCCTTTTTGCTACTTTTAGGTGTTCTAGAAAAGAGCTTTAAGTTTTTAGCACTGTAATGTGAAGTTACAGGGATGTGAAACTGCATCACTTCTTACTAAAGATTCACTTCCTAGTTTAAGATTGTGCCTTTCAGCCTCAGGCATGCTTAGATCTCTTAGAATTCAGGGGTCCCCAACCCTCAGGCCGAGAACCAGCACCGTGGCCTGTTAGGAGCAACCCAACCGACCGAGCGACTGAAGCTTCTTCATCTGTCACTCCCCATCGCTCACATCATCGCTTGAGCCATCCACCCTCTCCCACTCCACCCCACCCCTTTGGACAAATCGTCCTCCAGGAAACCGGTCCCGAGTGCCGAAAAGGTTAAGGACCCCTGACTTAGATGACACATTATCTTATCTTTACTAATCATCATTGAAAGAGAAAGTGTTGGTTGTGTCCGATGCTTTGTGACCCCATGGACGGTGTCCGCCAGGCTCCTCTGTCCGTGGCATTCTCCAGGCAAGAATACTGGGGTGGGTTGCCATGCCTTCCTCCGGGGGATCTTCCTGACCCAGGGATCGGACCCGGGTCTCGTGCATCGCAGGCAGATTCCTTACCGTCTGAGGCACCGGGGAAGCCCCATGAGGAGTAATTATATTGACAGAACCAGTGACAGGAGAGCAGTCCCCTTTGACCGGTTGTTTTCAGCCAGGCATCTGCTGCCAACTGCACTACTTTGCAGCCTCCTTCTGTCTGTCCCTCCCCTCATCCACCCCCTCGGCTGGACTTTCCCGGGACATGGGGTGAGCCTTCTTCATTTTTGTGTCCTGCTGCCCAGCACGGTTGTCGCACTGAACGGACCTGAATCCTAGGCAGGGGCTCACGGGAGAAGCGAGCCAGATGCAAGCGTGGAGGGGACTCCAGCCAGAGCTGCCCAGGAGGAGCAGTCTCTGTTTCAGGGATTTCCTGAGTCCCCGTTTCCTGTAAAATACTGAGATAGCTCCTAAATGGGGGAGAAACAGAATAAAACTTGAACTCTGATTGAGAAAGTAAGAAAGGAGTGAAAGAGCACATGCAAGGACATACTAACTGACATGATTCTATCCGGTGTCCACACGTTAGTAGACACTGGCCCTTAAACCTGAGAGTGTACAGTGTCTGCATTCAGCGTGCACCATGTCACTTATGATTCAGGATCGTTGGTAGAAGGGGCAGGGAATTTGGAATTTGGGATTTTATTTTCCTTAGATACTAGCTCCGTTCTAAGGGTTTAGGGAGAGAACTGACTGACATCAGTCTGTGTGTGTGTCCTGTGTTGCCAGGGACACCACGATCGTCAACCACTCAAGGAACGGCAGCTATGGCGAGAGCTCGCTGGAGGCCCACATCTGGCAGGAGGAGGAGGAGGTGGTGCAGGCCACCAGGAGGTGTCAGGACATGGAGTACACGTAAGGGACGGCCGTGCCCAGCCCCTGGGTCCCACGCCTGTCACCCGCCTCGAGAGCCCAGTGGGGCCACCAGCCCACTGTGTGCACTCATCTCCAGCCCATTCCCGTTCTACACAGCCTTAAGCTTGAGTCCTCCAAGTCCACATTCCAAGGAAAAAGTCCTATTAACAAGGGGCCTGCAGCCCGAGGTCTCTGGGAGCTAATTTCATGTCAGATGCAGATATTTAGGTGGAGGCTAATAACAAGAATTTAGAAGCCCATGTGTTTTCTGGGTGTCTGTCTTTACAGCCTACTGGACAGTATCAGCTGGACAGAGGGAAACATCATATGCCAGAGTCTCAGAGTTTTTGAGCCAGTATTTATATATTCCAGCCAGTAATAAAGAATATACATATAGCTAATGTGTTTTTCTCCTGAAGTAAACAAGAAATCCTCCAGCAGGCTTTGTGACGTCTCAGAGCTAGCCTGCCGCCCACCCCCAGTCCTCCCCGTCGAGCCCAGGGAAGCTGAGCTTCTCATTCTGCAGATGTGAAAATAGGACTGCATGGCTGAGTCGTTGATAAGCTCAGCAAGTTACTATCTGGGTTGTGAAAAGAACTCACGTGTCTTCTGATTCTCATTTTTTAACCTTCAGGGAGGAAAACGTCATCTTCTCACAAAAAAACTTGTCCCATTTTTTTTTTCCCCTCAGAAAATAGGGAAATTGACTCTTAGTGAGCAGCCCACCCCATAAGGCTTGAGTTTGTGTGTGTTTCCCCGTAGTTCCTCACGCCCTTCCCACTGCCAGGCTCCTAGACCCACTTCAGGCCAGGAGGTCCTGCCAGTGTGTCCTTGGGGTCCCAGAGCCTCCTGAGGGGCCAGAGAAGGTGCCCCCTTTTCAGGTACTACAAAAGGTCAGTCTTCTACAACTGGAGATTGTAAACTGAAGACTTAGGCAGCAGTTAACTCTGTTCTTGGAATTATAGTTAACATCTGTGGGGTCCTGAGAGAAATGTAAATATCCCTGTTATTCCATGGATTTTGATCTTGACTGTTTTGTTTTCTTGCACAGTATTAAAAATCTCCATGCCAAAATCATAGAGAAGGATGCTATGATTAAGGTCCTCCAGCAGCGATCCCGTAAAGATGCCGGGAAGACTGACTCCTCCAGCCTGAGACCCGCCCGCTCAGTGCCATCCATTGCAGCAGCCACCGGGACTCACTCCCGCCAGACCTCGCTCACCAGCAGCCAGTTGGCTGAGGAGAGAAAGGAGGAGAAGACCTGGAAGGGGAGCATAGGTGAGCCCCATGCCCTCAATAAGCCCCGCCCCTCCCCAAGCAAGCCCTGCCCCTCTGCATATGAGCCCCACCCCCTCAGGCAAGGCCCTCCCTCCGTAAGTGAGCCCCACTTCCACCCAGGCAAGCCCCACCCCCACATAGGTGAGTCCCTCCACTCACGTGAGCCTCTGAAGAGCAGGAGTCACACAAACACTGAGGCACCTCAGCTGGCCGATGGAGTTCAGACCCCATTGTGAAAGCAGGAATTTTGAGTATCTCCAAGTCTCAGTTTACGTGTTCAGTTCTGTCGCTCATTGTGTCCGATTCTTTATGACCCCATGGACTGCAGCACACCTGGCTTCCCTGTCCTTCACCATCTCCCAGAACTTGGCTCAAACTCATGTCCATCAACTCGGTGATACCATCCAACCATCTCATTTTCTGTCCTCCCATTCCCAGCTTCAGAGTCTTTTCTAATGAAAAGACTTTCCCATCAGGTGGCCAAAGTATTGGGTCTTCAGCTTCAGCATCAGTCCTTCCAATGAGTATTCAGGACTAATTTCCTTTAGGATTGACTGCTCTGATGTCCTTGTTGTCTAAGAGACTCTCAAGAATCATCTCCAGCACCATAGTTCAAAAGCATCAATTCTTCAGCACTCGGCTTTCTTTATGGTCCAATTCTCACATCCATACATGACTGGATGATTGGAAAAACCATAGCTTTGACTATATGGATCTTTGTTGGCAAAGTAATATGACTGCTTTGTAATATTCTGTCTAGGCTTGTCATAGCTTTTCTTCCAAGGAGGAACCACCTTTTAATTTCATGGCTACAATCACCATCTGCAGTGATTTTGGAGCCCCCCAAAATAACATCTGTCACTTTCCATTGTTTCCCCATCTATTTGCCATGAAGTGATGGGACCGGATGCCATGATCTTGGTTTTCTGAATGTTGAGCTCTAAGCCAACTTTTTCACTCTCCTCTTTCTCTTTCATCAAGAGGCTCTTCAGTTCCTCTTCACTTTCTGCCATAAGGGTGGTGTCATCTGCATATCTGAGATTATTGATATTTCTCTTGGCACTCTTGGTTCCAGCTTTTGCTTTATTCAGCCAGGCATTTCTCATGATGTACTCTGCATGTAAGTTAAATAAGCAAAGTGACAATATACAGCCTTGACATACTCCTTTCCCAATTTGGAACCAGTCCATTGTTCCATGTCTGGTTCTAGCTGTTGCTTCTTGACCTGCATACAGATTTCTCAGGAGGCAGGTCAGGTGGTCTGGTATTCCCATCTCTTGAAGAACTGTCCACAATTTGTTGTAATCCACACAGTCAAAGGCTTTAGTCTTTGACTAAAGTAGTCAGTGAAGCATAAGTAGATGTTTTTCTGGAATTCTCTTGCTTTTTCAATGATCCAGCTGATGTTGGCAATTTGATCTCTGGTTCCTCTGCCTTTTCTAAATCCAACTTGAACATCTGGAAGTTCTCGGTTCATGTACTATTAAAACCTAGCTTTGAGGATTTTGAGCATTGCTTTGCTAGTGTGTGAGATGAGTGCAATTGTGCAGTAGTTTGAACATTCTTTGGCATTGCCTTTCTTTGGGATTGGGATGAAAACTGACCTTTACCAGTCCTGTAGCCACTGCTGAGTTTTCCATTTTGCTGGCATATTGAATGCAGCACTTTCAAAGCATCATCTTTTAGGATTTGAAATAGCTCACCTGGAATTCCATCACCTCCACTTGCTTTATTCATCTTGATGCTTCCTAAGGCCCACTTGACTTGGCACTCTAAGATGTCTGGCTCTAGGTGAGAGGTTATCTGGGTCATTAAGATCTTTTTTGTATAGTTCTTCTATGTATTCTTGCCACCTCTTCTTAATATCTTCTGCTTCTGTTAAGTCCATACTGTTTCTGTCATTTATTGTGCCCATCTTTGCATGAAATGTTCCCTTGCCATCTCTGATTTTCTTAAAGAGATCGCTAGTCTTTCCCATTCTGTTGTTTTCCTCTACTTCTTTGCATTGATCACTGAGAAAGGCTTTCTTTTCTCTCCTTGCTATTCTTTGGAACTCTGTATTCAAATGGGTATATCTTTCCTTTCTCCTTTGCCTTTAGCGTCTCTTCTTTTCTCAGCTATTTGTAAGGCCTCCTCAGACAACCATTTTGCCTTTTTGCATTTCTCCTTCTTGGAGATGGTTTTGATCACCACCTCCTGTACAGTGTTACAAACCCTTGTCAATAGTGCTTAAGGCACTCTTATCTATCAAATCATATCCCTTGAATCTATTTGTCACTTCCACTGTATAATCATAAAGGGTTTGATTTAGGTCATACCTGAATGGTTTAGTGGTTTTCCCTTCTTTCTTCAATTTAAGTCTGAATTTGACAATAAGGAGTTCATGATCTGAGCTACAGTCAGCTCCCAGTCTTGTTTTTGCTGACTGTATAGAGCTTCTCCATCTTTGGCTGCAAAGAATATAATCAAATCTGATTTCCGTATTGACCATCTGGTGATGGCCATGTGTCGATTCTTCTCTTGTGTTGCTGGAAGAGGGTGTTTGTTATGACCAGTGCATTGTCTTGACAAAACTCCATTAGCCTTTGCCCTGCTTCATTTTGTACTCCAAGGCCAAAGTTACCTGTTACTCCAGGTATCTCTTGACTTCCTACTTTTGCATTCCAGTCCCCTATGATGAAAAGGACATCTTTTTTTGGTGTTAGTTCTAGAAGTTCTTGTAGGTCCTCACAGAACTGTTCAACTTCAGCTTCTTTGGCATTTGTGGTTGGGACATAGACTTGGATTACTGTGATATTGAATGTCTTGCCTTGGAAATGAACCAAAAAAGTCTCATTTTTGAGATTGCACCCAAGTACTGCATTTCAGACTCTTTTGTTGACTATGAGGGCTACTCCATGTCTACTAAGGGATTCTTGCCACAGTAGTAGATGTAATGGTCATCTGAATTAAATTCACCCATTCTGGTCCTTTTTAGTTCACTGATTGCTGAAATGTCAGTATTTACTGTTGCCATCTCCTGTTTCACCACTTCCACTTTACTTTGATTCATGGACCTAACATTCCAGGTTTCTATGCAATATTGCTCTTTACAGCATAGGACTTTACTTCCAACACCAGTCACATCCACAGCTAGGTATTGTTTCCACTTTGGCTCAGCCTCTTCATTCTTTCTGGAGCTATTTCTCCAGTCTTCTGCAGTAGCATATTGGGCACCTACTGACCTGGGGATTCATCTTTCAGTGTCATATCTTTTTGACTTTTCATGTGGTTCTTCTCAGTATTCTTCTGAAGTACACTGAAGTGGTTCGCCATTCACTCTCCAGTGGACCATGTTTTGTCAGAACTCTCACCATGACCTGTCGGTCTTGGGTGACCCTACACAGCATAGTTTCATTGAATTAGAGAAGCCTGTGATCCACGTGATCAGTTTGTTTAGTTTTCTGTGATTGTGGTTTCCATTCTGTCTGCCCTCTGATGCATGAGGATAAGAGGCTTGTGGAAGCTTCCTGATGGGAGAGACTGGCTGTGGGGGAATCTGCTGGGGGGTCTTGCTCTGATGGGTGGGACATGGGTCACCAGTTTCCTGCCTCGGGGACAGGGTCTCTGGCTGCAGCAGACCTGGGAGGTGTAGGGTGTGAGCCCCACCATAGGACTACCGAGCAGACAGCCCACAAACTGGAATACCAAAGAAGTTTTTGCACTGTTGTGAAAGTTCTGGGACCACACCAGATTTCCCAACCAGGGGATCCGTCAAAGGGACCGAGAACCCCCAGGGAATTTGACTTTGAAGGCCAGTGGGATTTGATTACAGCACTTCCACAGGACTGGGGAAACAGACTCTTGGAGGGCACAAACAAAACCTTGTGCGCACCAGGAGCCAGAGAAAGGAACAGTGACCCCACAAGAGACTGAGCCAGACCTGCCTGTGAGTGTCTAGGAGTCTCCAGTGGAGGCGTGGGAAGGATAATGAACCATACTTTGGTGGTGGAAGCAAAGGCCACTCCACCAGAGTCACTGTTAGCCATGAGTTAACTCACATCATAATCATTATTATTGAAAGTTAAAGTGTCTTACACTATACAAACTTTTAGTGGGAGCAAAACTTAGAGACTTCAGGCCTCTGAACTTGGTTCTGCCCCAGACCAGTGGTAGGACTGCTCCATGTCTGCTCCTGTGTCTAGAAAAGCTGGGTGGTGTCTGGAGGTGTCTGCCCTGCTGTACCCCATGGCGTCATTGCGAGGATAAAACGAGATACTGGAGAGAAAGTGCTTTGCAAGCAGTGCTCTCGCATAAGGGGCTGCTGGTGGTATTTTGTTGGATTGTTGTTGCACAGGCAGAGTTTGGAAGAGCATTCTGCAAATGCGGTCTTAGCCATGGACCAGTTTCCTGGGGTGACGGAGACCAGTGGCCCAGCTCGCTGAGTCAGAGAGGATGAGACTGAGCTGCCCGGGTCACAGGCAATACTCCCAGTCACACGTCCTCCGCTCTTGTCCCTGGCACTCTGCAGCCCCAAGGGCCTGGCCCTTCTTTGATGCATCTCCCTGGGTCAGAGTGTGTTTTGTTTATCTGTGGAGCTGAGAGCCTGTTTTTGTCAGCCCAGGACAGTGGAGGAGCCTGGCTGCTTCATGCCAAAGGGGATAAGAGCTTCCAGGAGGAAGCTGACAGGCTTGGGGTGGAATCAGGCACCCAGCCGCTGTCTCCGTTTGAAGTCCCCCCATGGGTTACTTCTGTAGCCCTTGCCCTCCAAGGAAATGCACTTCAAAGAGGAGGCATGTGGACAGCAGCTGGGATCTTCAAAGACCCTCCCAAGGACTCTTAGCTCCCCTCCCCGAGTAGAGAGCCTCAGCAGAGGTGCTCAGGTGGACTTGGTAGGGGACTCGGCATGTTTTCAGCTCACACAGAAACCTCTCTGGCAGAAGTCCGTCTGTGACATCCAGCCAGGCAGGCATTTCCCTGGGGGCTGTGCCCATACCCCTAGCATTTGATGTGCCAGGCCTGGTAGTGGAGGACCCGGCTACAGGAAGAGCTCCTGTGTTCTCCGCACTCATATTCCCCCTCGTTATTGTGATCAGTGTCCACATGTCACAAGACAGAGTGGAGCCCTCCCCACTGCAGACAGAGGCACACGTTCAATTCCCAAAGATCTCCTGCACGGGCCCGACAGCGTTTCCACAGTCTCTTGTCTGAGGGGCTCTGGAAGGAGGCAGAGGTAATAACATATCCCTTTCTAATGGCTCAGGGGCTCCCAGGTGAGATGACCGGCCAGTGACTTAGTTGCACAGGAATGTCCTTGCCAGACTGGCTTTCCACGCAGGGGTAGGGTGCTGAGGCGGAAATGGACACAGGGTGGACTTAAAGGCGGGCACCTCTGGCTTCAAATGCCATTTCTGCTACTTCTTGGCTGTGAGACGCTAATTTCACTAAGCAGCCGTTTCCTTCTCTATAAAACAAAAGACAGCAACAGGACCTACCTCATATGAAGTGAGATTGGGAAGCACCTAGTCAAGGCTTCTTGCTCCTTAAGGTGTGGTCTGTGGACCAGCACCACCAGCATGGCCTGGGAGCTTATTAGAGAAACAGAAGCTCAAGGTCCCCTGCTGAGTTGAATTTTAAGTAATTGATAGGTGTGTGAACATGTTGAGAAGCATCCCTGTAGACAGACTGGATTGAGTTGTGTTGCATTATGAATGGGCCCCCTGAAATAGCCCTAGCAAGGAGACTGTGTGAACTTCGTTAATGACCAGACACTTTTGTGCCTACTGCACTTTCTGTAAGCTGGTGTGGAGTGCTGGCACTTTTTTGAACGAGGGCCGTATTTCACTATTAGAACAGTTGCTGTGCTGTCCAGCTTTGCAGAAAGACATGGAGGAAACGGGGCACATCATGCCTCCCTTTTGCCCAGCCGGCCACCCTCTTCCCACCCCGGATGCTTTGTCTTGGGGCGGGTGGGGAGGAGAGGGCTGAGCAACCCTCCCCAGGAACCCAGCTGGCTTCCTGCCTCTTGGAGGACATGGCTCTTCATCACAAGGAGCTCTCTGGGGAATATTGTACACAACTCTGTTGCCATGACCAGGAGGCATGTTTGTTTTGACTCGGGGCCTGGGGAGACAATTCATTACCCAGAGAGGAGTGGAGCTGGGGGCTGTTAAGCAGAGCAGCAGGCCAACAGGGCTGTGTCTAGGAGCAGAGGAGCCTTCAGGTTTTCTTAGACACACCGCCACTGCTCAGGACTAGCCCTCCTGGGCTGCATACGGAAAGAAAGCATCGTCTCCAGAAAGCCTTGCAGGAGTGCCCCCACCCCTCGACACTCTGCCTCTAAGGTACCTCTTCTTCTTTCCATAGCATCTTGAGAATAATAGTATCCTATCATTTGTCATGTTACTTTATAACCAGTTTACGCGACAGCTGCTCCCCTGCCCCATGCTAGGTTTTTTGTTTTTGCTTTTTAATTGGGGTATTCATTTCAGTTCAGTCGCTTAGTCATGTCCAACTCTTTGCAAGTCCATGGACTGCAGCACGCCAGGCTTCCCTGTCCATCACCAGCTCCCAGAGTTTACTCAAGCTCATGTCCATTGAGTCAGTGATGCCGTCCAACCATCTTATCCTTTGTCATTCCCTTCTCCTCTCACCTTCAGTCTTCCAGCATCAGGATCTTTTCCAGTGAGTCAGTTCTTCACATCAGGTGGCCAGAGTATTGTAGTTTCAGCTTCAACATCAGTCCTTCCAATGAACACACAGGACTGATCTCCTTTAGGATGGACTGGTTGGATCTCCTTGCAGTCCAAGGGAGTCTCAAGAGTCTTCTCCAACACCACAGTTCAAAAACATCAATTCTTTGGTGCTCAGCTTTCTTTATAGTCCAACTCTCACATCCATACACGACTACTGGGAAAACCATAGCCTTGACTAGACGGACCTTTGTTGGCAAAGTAGTTGCTTTATAATGTTGTGTTAGTTTCTGCTCTACAGGAAAGTGAATCAGCCATCCATATACATACAGTCCCTCCCTCTTGGGGGAGTCCCCCTGTCTCCCCCCCGCCCCCCGCCGCCGTCCCCGCCCGTCCCCGTGACCGCCATCCCATCCACAGAGCATGAACCCCTAGCCGCCTCTTTTACACACGTGTGTGTAAGCTCAATCGTGTCTGACTCTGCAACCCTGTGGACTGTAGTCCGCCAGGCTCCTCCATGCATGGGATTCTCCCGGCAAGACTACTGGAGCGCGTTGCCATGCCCTCCTCCAGGGGGTCTTCCCAACCCAGGGATCAAACCCAAGTCTCCTGCATCGCTTGCCCTGGCAGGCGGATTCTTGACCACTGCGCCCCCTAGGTGTGTGTGTGTGTGTGTGTGTGTGTGTGTGTGTGTGTTCCTGATCTCCCAGTTCACCGCGCGGCAGCCTTGTGCAGACGTCCATTCTCTTCTCTGGCGTCTGTATCCCTGCCCAGCCTGTGGGTCTTGCTTCTTAAGGGCTGGCGCTGAAGAAGCTGTTCCTCCACCCTCAGGGCTGCTGCTGGGGAAGGAGCACCACGACCACGCGTCCACCCCCGTGCTGCCCACCCCCTCTGCCGCCGCGCTGTCCCCGCCAGCCCCTGGCATGTCGGCCGGCAGCGCCCACGCGAAGACGGGCAGCAAGGACAGCAGCACGCAGACCGACAAGAGCGCCGAACTCTTCTGGCCCGGCGTGGCCTCCCTGCCCACGCGTAGCAGGCTCAGCGGGACCCCTTCCAACAGCCCCGTGCTGAAGCACCCAGCGGCCAAGGGCACAGCAGAGAAACTGGGTAGGGGGTCTCCGCCTGCTCTCACACTCCACAGAGCTCCCTGTCCTGTTTTTGTGGGAGTGGGGCGGGGAGGGGCTTCTATTGAGCTGAGGGGGGGGTGGTGCGGGGAACCGGGCTACCAACCTACTCTCATGGGTTATCTTATGGTATGGTTTCTCTAATGCATGTAGGCTCTGCCAAGTGTTAGGCACTCAGTGGTGTCTGACTCTTTGCAGTTCCACGGACCATAATCCACCAGACTCCTCTGTCCGTGGAATTCTCCAGGCAAGAAGACCGGAGTGGCTTGCCATTCTCTTCTCCAGGGGAGCTTCCCAACCCAGGGATCGAACCTGGGTCTTCTGCAATGCAGGCAGATTCTTTACCATCGGAGCCACCAGGGATGCCCTAGACTCTGCAGGCTCTTTATTATTCTGGAACTGAAATATGTGTGCTTGCGTGCTAAGTCGCTTCTGTTGTGCCCCACCCTTTGCGACTCCATGGACCGTAGCCCACCAGGCTCCTCTGTCCATGGAACTCTCCAGGCAAGAATACTGGAGTGGGTTGCCATTTCCTTCTCCGGGGGATCTTCCTGACCCAGTCTCATGTCTCCTGCATGAGAACCTCCTGGCAGGCAGGTTCTTTACCACTAGTGCCACCTGGGAAGCCCTAAAATGTGTGTAGAGACTCCTAACATTACCATTTAAAAGAGCACACAAATTGCATTTGTCCTTTTAGCGTATATTTAATAGCTAGCCCTTCCCCAGAAGGTGTGCAAACAGACCCTCAAGGGATGTAAGGAATTAGCTCCCTTTCCCTGCCCCCCCGCCGCCCCCCAGCATGTTTGGGAGCTGGTACCAGTCCATCAAGAGCATCAGGTACAGAGATGTTGCCTTCGAGGTGTTTACTTATTAAGGATTCAGTGTCGATTGAAGCAGACACTGATTCAGTCTTGTGTGGTTAGAAGCAGAAGGTAGATTTAAGGTAGGTGAACTGGCCTAGCACTCAGGCCAGTTCTGAGGAGTTGCTTTCAAACATTTAAGAGATGACAGGTTGGGAGTTTTGCGATGGGTCCAGAAATGTCCTTGGAGAGAGTAGGTTTGGCTTTGGACTGTTCTAGTCATGGGGTGAGGATACCTCTGTTCAGGAATCCTTTGGAGTAGGTGGGGGCTCCTGGGCATAAATGAGTTGTTTCCTCTGTGGGGTTCCCTGTATTCATCTTCCAAAATAAACAAGTACACATAATGTTGTCAATTTTTGGAGATGTAATTCTTGGGATGCCCTTTTGCCAAGAAGGCAGGGAACCGGGGAGGGACGTGCCTCATTGTAGGCACTTGATAATTTAGAGGAGAAGAGGGGAGCGGGGTGGGTGAGGTCCCCGCACAAAGCCCTAATTCCCCCTTCACCCGTTCAGACCTCTCCAATCACGTCCTGGTTGTGTTCTCTGTGTCCGAATCCCAGGCCCAGGCATTTAGCTTTGGTCCACCAAAGCTGGGCTCTGTGGCCCTAACCTGCGTGCACCAGTGGTAACGGGTGGTACGTGAAGTGGTTCCATTTTAGAGAGAGCTGGGAAGGCCTGTGGTCCTCCTGGGGAACGGGCCGCTGATATGTCCCTTCTGTTTGGCAGAGAACTCTCCCGGCCACGGAAAGTCGCCTGACCACAAAGGCCGTGTCAGCAACTTGCTCCACAAGCCCGAGTTCCCCGACGGGGAGATGATGGAAGTTCTCATCTAACCCTGGGCTCCCAGTAGAATTTAACAGCAGAACACCGAGGCGTGAGAAACATGCAAAGAGAAAGATCACGAAGGTTGCGGATGGGAAATCAGGGATGGTTTGAGCAGATAAAGATTTCAGATTAGTGAGAACACTTTTTATAAATGTTAAAACAAAAACAGGAGACCTACATGACTGAAGATGAAGAGAATGCCGTGGATTACCGCTTACGGTGGAAGAGAGAAGGTGCATGTAGGTTTGGAAACGAAGAAATAGGAAATGAAATTTTTTCATTGTACAGAAAAATGTACCTCTCGGGGAGGGTCTGTGTACACCCATGGTCTGGTTATAAACAGATAAACCTGAGCATGGATCTTCCTTGGAATACGCCCATTCTCCTTGCCTCTTAGCTTGTTTTGAGAAGAACCTCCTAGAAATCTCGCAGTCTGTCTTGACATAATGTCATATCACCTGTGCCCTCCATGATGTGTCCTGTGAATGCGTGTGGGTGTGGCAGGGAGGAGAAATGTCCGGGGTGATGGAGGGTTTAAAAGGCCATCTCCACCTCTGTACCTTTTGATTTGGATTGTCAGGAGGTTTGGGGCCTTCTTGGCTTTTCTGCACTGAGCAATATATTCTCAGCAGGATGGGAGCTTTCTGGTCTTGGGGTTCATCCCCCCTCACTTCTCTGAGTTCACCTCTGTCTCTGCCTCATCCTCTTTCATTTTACCCTTTTTTCCTTCATTTTTTTTTTTCCTTTTGTACTAAGCCTTGGCAGTGTTCCTTCAGTCTGGGGTTTGCCAAGCAGTATCTGAACAGTCATCATGCACAGTGACTAGTGGGACAAAGCCTTTTGGTGGCTTCCTGGCAGCTTCCTCCACCTTGGAGGAGTTGGGCTGCAGCAGCTGACGTTCTGACAGTGAACTTGGTCAGCTCCAGTGAGACAGGATTCACGGCCACGATGACGTCCTGCCTTAAGCTCCTACCGCCGCAAGTTTCTCCCCTCACATCGGCTCTTACACTGAGTTTGGTATCTCCACCTCATTGCTCCGCTGAGGTCGGACTTTCAGGATTGCACTCCAGGAAACAAGGGACGCTTGACTTGGTGGCATCTAGAATCTCCCCTGGCACCTCCCCTGTCCCACTCGCTACTGTCTGTGGCCCCTGCTCTGCCAGCCCCTTGAACCCTTCTGGATGTAGTTCATGAGCACGCAGATTCTGTGACTGTCAGCAGGTCGGGTCTGCCCTGCTGGGGACTTGCTTTGTAACCTAACAGGCCAGTATCGAGACAGTGTTGTCGGGTTGTTCAAGGGTTTAGTTCGAAGCAGCTGGTCCAAAGTAAGACAGAAGCACCAGGTCAAAGAGCCAGAAATGAATGAGGTCGTGGCCCTCTTTTCCCTATGTTGTACAGTTTCCCATCTGACTTCTCAGACGTCGGCTTCCTTTACAAACCTGGAAGGTGCTGGATCAGCGGAGAGAGGCTAGTCAGGCCATCAGATGCCCTTGTGGGGTCCTGATGAATTTGCTCCCTCCAGGGGAGCAGCAGCTCTGTTGCCCCGGGTCCTCATGCCCACAATCTGAGACTTTCTCGCATCCCACCCAAATGAAGCCCTGAAGACTGTGTCACTTCAGAAAGTTGGCTTAGGTGGCTCCTTGTAGGGTTGGTCTTTCAAGTGTAACCTGGGTGCGTGCCTGACTGCTAAGTCGCTTCAGTTGTGTCCGACTCTGTGCAACCCTGTGGACCATAGTCCACCAGGCTCCTCTGTCCATGGGATTCTCCAGGCAAGAATGCTGGAGTGGGTTGCCATGCCATCCTCCCGGGGATCTACCCCACCCTGGGATCGAACCTGTCTCTTACGTCTCCTGCCTTGGCAGGTGGGTTCTTTACCATGAGGGCGAGCTATGGGGAGCCCTGTAACCTGGGTGAAGCCTCCCCAGATCCACGTGGTAGAAGACCGTGATGAGTGCAGGTGGAGGGAAGGAAACTGCTGGCTTTGCCCAGGAGCTTCTCAGAGCTGCCTGGTGGTCAGAGGGGGCAGAAGGGATGCACCTGAAGCCTTGCTCTGTGGGGGACTCGTGTGTCACACGTGTTGCCTTCTGCGGTCCCACTTTAAGCATCACTGAGGGTTGTGCAGCCTGAGGAGCCAGAGCAGCTCTGTGGGGCTGAGCAGTCCCAGGTTCCGCCGGAAGAGCGAACCTCATGGGTGGTGCAGGGGCGGGGTGAGTATGGACACGTGGGGGTGGGGGAGCAGAGGACTCCCCCTCCCATCTCCTCTTTCACTTTCGACAAGTGATGAGGCTCAGTTGATGGCAGCCGACTCTCTTAAGGACCTTTTGGCCCCTGATTAATGTTGAGAATGGAAAAAATTAGTATCTAGAAATAGGAGGGCCCCCCCAATGCTGTCCATATCTGGGCCACCCCAAATGTGAGCTGTGTCCCCCAGAAATGGGTGGGAGCCAGAGCTCATCTTTAGGCCCCAGCACATCTCGTTGGCAGCACAGGCACGAGGCTCGCTGGCTTTCCTCGGTCCCCCAAGTTGCCAGGCTTGGTAACTCTCACAATGCACAGACATCACCATTTTTCAATTGTGCTGTAGTGTCTGTCCACCTTTTTTGCTTCTGACCTGCCTCTGCAACAAAAGGGACTGACAGCTTTGAAATCTCTTCTTTTATGGCAGATTCCGGCCCAGCGAGGGCCTCACTGCTCTTCATCTCCGTAGATTTCTCGAAGCCTTGCTCGCCTTTAGGAGAAAGCAGATACTGAACTCCCAATGTGCGTTCTTGCAGTTGATGCCACATGATCTCATGGGATTTTCGAAAAAGAATCCTTGCTCCATTTTTTAGTGCCGACTGTGTGCAAGTGCTGGTCCTTTTGGAGCATGCTCGGACCACATGGGAGCAGGGGCAGGTTTACCCTTATTTCACAGAGGAGGAAACAGGGGCTCAGGGAGGCCAAGTCCCTTCCACAGGAGAGACTGGCGTCTGGACCGAGGGTTTGGGAGAGCAGCCTTGGCGCAGGCCGGACTGCCTCTGACTTGGGGGTGATGAGGGTCTTTCAGGGTCACATCTTGGCCCTCTCCGTCCCCTTTATGTGTCTGTGCACGTGTGCGCACACACTCAGTTCCCTTCTTCATCCCCCCCGGCGACCTCCAAACTGCTAGGACTGCCCGTAAACACAGCTATAGATGGGAGTCTGTGTACTGTTACACTGGGCCACAAAGTCTGCCTTATAAAGCTCTTTCTTGCATGTAATGCAGAGGCCGGGCCTCCTGCAGAACGTCCCAGTGTGGTGTCCGATCATAACTCCTGGCCCTGTCTCAGGGTGAAGGGTCAAGGCCTTGGCCCTGGGTGACGGCCCGCCGGGGTCACCCTGCCTCCGCCTCGAGTGTGTCATCTGGCAGTTTCCGTGTGCCGCCCGGGGTACCGTGTGGAGCAGGCGATGTTGCTGCTTTCTGGCGCTGATTTCCGGATGTGTGCAGAGCCTTTCCCTGACGTTTTCTTCTCAGCTTGTCTTCGGCTTCCCACGGGTTGGAGGCCAGCCATGGTGTCGCACTGCGCCTGCTCCGAGTGGACACACAGGTCAGGGCTGCCATGTCCCTCCCGGGACTTGGGATGGAGGCAGAGAGTGGGGGCCCTTCTTTCTCTCTTCTGGTTTGCGGAGCTTGCTCTTTGGGACCCACGTGTGCGTTTGACTACACAGGACTTGGGTTGGGTATCCAAGTGTGCCGGAATGCCCCCTGCAGAACAGTCAGCCATCCCCGCTGTTTGTTGTCTCGTGGCTTTGACGTTGTGATGCTGAGTGCTGACAATTAGAGATGTCTCCTGCTTTGTCCTCTGCAGTGCTGCTGATTTAGCCTCTAAGTCATGTCTGACTCTTGCGACCTGATGGACTGCATATAGCCCACCAGGCTCCTCTGTCCATGGGATTCTCCAGGCAAGAACACTGGAGTGGGTGGCCGTTTCCTTCTCCATTTGGTAGCTGATGGCAATAGAAACTCCCCCCACTGCAGCCTGAGTCCCAGAGCCTGGTGTGAACACAGATGTCAGCAGAGGCGGGTTCCAGGAGGCCATGGAGAGTAGGTGGTGGGTTGCAAGGTTTGGAGGCAGGGAGCTCACGTGAGCAGAGAGGTATGTCTTCCAAAACAAAGTCCTGCAGCCAGCGTGTGTGCCCTGGCACCGGTGGGCATGCTTCTGTGTGCCCCCCCCCCACCCCCCGATCTCACACTCCTCCTGAGCCAGGGAGGACTGTGGCCGTGATATGAGGGAGTAGGAGTGTCTTTTAACACAGAACATCCTGCCCACAACTGCCCGCTTGTCCCTAAGTTTGACGCAGCTGCGGTGTAGGCTTTACAAATGTTGTTTTTTCTCTTCTTCTGTTTTTTTTTTTCCTGCTAATTAATCAGTGTGTTTAGAATGTCTTCATTCAACATGAGGGATGTTCAGTGGGTGTCCCTTGTGTGTGGCTCCATGGAAGATGGGCAGAGTCATTAAGAAGTTAACAGAAGCTGGTCAGTTGGGAGCATGAAAAGGTTAGCACTTCAGTAAATGGATTTCTTCTGGACCTAATAAGCAATTTTTTTTTTCCTCTCGCTTTTAAGTAGTACCCCTTCTCTTGTTTGGTAATTTAAAGGTATCTAAAGACATGCATTGAAAAAAAAAAAAAAGACCTGTATATATTTGTCAGTGCATACATATGAGATGTGGCTCTAAGATTGTATGTCGATTTCTTTTCTTAATATCCGGAAGATCCAAGTGTTTCATCTCACCCTACCTTGTGAAACTCTTGTTGATGACTGAGGTGCTGTCCAAGTAGAAACATTCTGTAAACACCTCTGTGAGGATGGATTTGGGGGCCTGGTACGTTCCTCTGGTTATCCTTAGAGATGAGGGATCATCATCCTTTGAGGATGGGTTTAAGTTTGGAAATAAACCCACGTCATTGACTCAGTTGGATAAGTAAAGATGGGTGATGAAGGTAAGTTACATCCTTTTGGCTCTTTCTTTTTTTAAAAAAAAAGTCCCTAAGACGTTCCTAGGGATGCTGCGTCTTTGGACTCCTTTCAGGGTGACCACTTCAAAGGAAGACAGTAATCACTAGTACATATAACTTCCAATGGATTTTTTTTAAAAAGCTGCTCTCTTGTCACGCCTTGTACGTGTTCACACCTCTGTGTACACACGATGTAAGCACACATTCATGAGTATCTATCTGCCTCCAGTCGGAATTCCGTAAAACCGTGTTAGACTTAAGTGCATGTTATTGTCATATTAGGCCAAAACCGGGGTGTTTCTTTGTCGTGAAACTTTGCTTCTTCAGAGAATTAAAGTATTGTTTTCAGTATAATGGAGTCTATATACAGCATTCTCCTGTATCAGCTCCTGAATTTCTGGTGCCCAGTGGTATGTTTCCATGTGGTTTACCTAGAATTCTGTTCACATAGAGACACCTGTAAGTATTTATTACAAACCGGGATGTAAACAGACTGGCCCATAGTGGTTTTCTTTGATTTAAGGTGTTTTCCCCCTTTTGCGGAGCAGAATCTGGGACGTTCTGTGAGGCGGGGCGGGGCGGGCACCCACCTCAGCCGAAACCCCGCTGGCCTGGGTGCCACCGCGCTTCCCGCCGGCTGCGAGTGCTGCGTTCTGTCCAGCAGACTCTGAGGTAACATTCTGGCATCTTCGTATGGCTGATCTGTCCTGGGGGGCGGGGAGCCCAGAGCTGCAACGGCCGGATGGGTCTGTGTACAGAGCAGGGAAATTCAGGAAGACGGTGTGTCCCCCACAGCAAATATTGATCCTGTTGGTCAGCCAAAGATTTTCCTATCCTTTGCTGCTTAAATTTGTGCCTTAATATTGTATATAATAAATGGATTAAAAAAAAAAACTGTTCTTTCCCTCTCATTTGCTCTTTTCTTTTCCTAGGAACTTATGTACACAGCGCTCAGTCAATGTGGGTTGAATTTCATCTCGTTTTACTCCTGGAGGCGGCCTCACTTGCTGTTTTGCTTCCAGAGGCCTCCAGTCCCCCACTGCACCCCTCCACCACCACCCCCTCCTTGTGGCACTCCTGCTCTTGATCCCAAGGAGGAAATGAGTCATCCAGGCCACTGGAGCTTGCCATCCACCCACCACCCGCCCCTCCAGACAAATACGGAAAGAGGAAACACAGGGACGTGGGCCCAGGAGATAGTGGCCACTTGGATGGCATCTGAGCGTCCCCTTTGGACGGCCCTGGGCTCAGGGCCTGCCAGTGACCAGCGTCACGCAGGAATTAACCTGTGTAGCCTGGGCCCTGAGTCTGGGCTGGGGTCAGACGTGTCTCCGCACCCCATAATGGACGTGGCAGATGTTGCTGCCTTGTTAGTTTCTTAGGGTCATGGGAAGTGTGGGGGGCTTTGATAGAAGTCACGTGATAAATGGTGGGGGCCTCAGAATAGATGCTGGGAGAGTCCCCAGGTGCAGTGTTGTCCCGAGGGGACAGTGGCCTGGGAACACTGTCAGGGAGGACGAGGCGCCCTGTTTATTCTCTAGTCCTTTGTCTTTTAGCGGAAGCCTCTCTTGCCTGCCCAGCCCACCCCCCAACCCAGGCTTGGCAAAGGCTTCCTCAGTGTGAGCGCAGGGCCCCCCTCTAGTCTGCAGTGATGGCTATTGTGGCCTGCACGCATTCCTGCCTTCAGTCTAAACAGCAACCTGGTTGGCCCCATTCTAAAGACAAGGAAACTGAGGCTCAAAAACCTCGGGCAAGTCACGTGTGAAAGATGGCAGGATTGGAACCCAGGTCTATCTGACCAGGAGCCCGTGCACTTGCAATAAAATGTCGGTAGGGGCTGAGTGCTTGGGTTCTTACCTGTCCTGCCTTCTACCCAAAGGAGCTCTTCTCTGTGGGGACCCCTGGACCCCATATGCATGCAGATGTGATGCGGGAGAATAAAGGGCAAACTGGGCAGCCTCCACCTCCCAGCGTGACTTCGGGAAGACAGCTGGAGGACCTGCATGCCTTGGGGCTCAGAGGAGGAGAGGGGGGCTCCTGAGCTGGGCGCCCCCCTCTGCCATCTCCCTGCCCTAACCCTGTGCCTGCTGCTGGAGAGAGTCAGCCCGCAAGCCCTGGCCTCTGTCCTGAATCCTGGGCCAGGGCCTCTGCACCTCAGGGAATAGTAGCGATGCCGTTTGGATTGCCTGGGCTCATCTTGTCAGGAGGCAGGTCCCAAATGAGAAATAAATCAGGAGCTCTGAAATGCCTTTCTTAAAATATAGAGAGTTCAGTGATGAGGAAATAAGAGGAGCTTTTGCCGCTTCCCTGTTTCCAATGCCCTTTAATCAGGCACTGCCCTGTCTCCCACGTGCTCCCTTTAGCCACCGCGTTCCTGGCAGGCAGACGTCCTCTCTTGGCGAGTCTGTCTCCCTCCAAACTCTCCCCTTATGGAGCCCCAGAAGGAGACCCTTCCCATCTGATGCGGCTTCCCGTCAAATGGTGACTCTTCCCAAGTTCTTCATGTGAGGACAGTTATAGGGCTCGCAGACTATGTAGTTGGGTAATTAGGAGTAAAATAAAGTGAATCTATTGACCACAGGAGGTAGCCAGAGTTTATCAGCAGCGCGCCAAATCCTGGGGCTTCCCAGGTGGCTCAGTGGGAAATAATCCACCCACCAGTGCAGGAGACACGGGTTCAATCCCTGGATCGGGACGATCCCCTGGAGGAGGAAATGGCAACCCACCCCAGTGTTCTGGCCTGGAGAATCCCATGGACAGAGGAGCCTGGCGGGCTACAGTCCATGAAGCTGCAAAAGAGTAGGACATGACGGAGCACGCACAGTGTGAACCTTAGTCCTTGTGTTGGAAACATACTACAGAGCTTAAATCCTGATTGGTCTCAGCCCTCTGATTGTTTGAGGGAGGGAGGACCTGACATTTACTGGGTTGGCTTTGGAGTATGGCTTCTCCTTTGCAACCTCTGAGGGAGGTGGCTGCCTCTTCACCCCAGAGTTTCCGATGAGGAAGCGCTTCCGAGAGGCACGGGGCGTGCCCGGCTGCCAGTCTAGCCCGGGCAGACTTCTCTAAGTCCTCGTCTTTCTCCTCTGTACTACATCATGGTTTTTGACTTTAACTGGTCTTATTTTTGGTGGTTTTCTGGATTTTGTTTTTAATAGTTCTAGAGAGGATTGGTAGGCAAATGGCTAGTTGGGGAGCGGGGGAAGCATTTTTGAGGAACCTGTGTGGATGGACAAGCTGAATTCAAGCTTCTGGTCTCTTCATAAGGTAAGGACTTAATGCAGAGCAACTTGACTGTGTTTTGATGCAGGTACACCTAGGGGGCAGCACCAGGGAGAAGGGACTGGGGGGCTCAGATGGTAAAGAATTTGCCTGCAATGCAGGAGACCCGGATTTGATCCCCAGGTCGCGAAGATCCCCTGGAGAAGGGCATGGCAACCCACTCCAGTATTCTTACCTGAAGAATCCCATGGACAGAGGAGCGTGGCGGGCTACAGTCCGTGGGGTTGCAGAGAGTCGGACATGACTGAGCGACGTAAGACCTTCACTTTCAGGCGTGGTCACAGGGCCCACTCTCCGGCTAGGATCCCACTCTTTTTTTTTTGTCAGACAGGTCCTTAGCCCCCAGAACTCGGGGTCCAGAGATGCTGATGTAAAACTGAAGTTCGTTTGTGTTTTGGCCAAATGAACTCATGGGCTGTTCCTGATGGCCCTCTGTGTGGGTTTCCCCAGACCTGGCGCCTTCCCTTCTCCCTCTGCTCTGCTGGCTGTCGCATCCTCTCCGTCACCTCTGCTGGGAACCCAAGTCACCCGGGCCCGCCCTCCCCTGTTCCTGCCTACGCACTCCACCTTCCCAGATTGCCTCCCTGCTTTCACTGTCTCCATCCTCACAGCCTTAGCTCAAGACCTCATCTCTCACGTGGACAATGGCAGGAGCCCCTGCCTCCCACCTCACCCCCTCCGCCCTTGACAGGGACACCAGAGCAACGAGGACTAGCCGACACTTATTGTTTTTCTGCACCCCATGCTCCTGTGACCTGGAGGAGGCCATGGCAGCCCACTCCAGTATTCTTGCCTGGAGGATCCCATGGACAGAGGAGCCTGGCGGGCTGCAGTCCATGGGTCGCAAAGACTGGGACATGACTGAAGCTACTGAGCATACATGCTCCTGTGAACCACTCCTACCTTAGGACGTTGAATTCTTACGGTCACTCTGAGGCCGACACTGTTACTAGATCCTCATTTTATTGGAGGTAAAACTAAGAGGCAGAGGACTAAGTCTCTTGCCCAAAATTCTAGAGTTTGTGAGTGGCAGATTGTTGTTGTTTAGTCGCTAAGCCATGTCTGATTCTTTTGTGACCCCATGGACTGTACAGCCTGCCATTCTCTGGCCATGGGATTCTCCAGGCAAGAATACTGGAGTGGGTTGCCATTTCCTTCTCCAGGGGATCGTCCCAACCCAAGGATCAAACCCTTGTCTCCTGCGCCTCCAGCATTGGCAGGTAGTTTCTTTACCTCTGAGCTGCCTGGTATGCCACCCTGTATCCAGAGGAGATGCTAATTAAAATTTCAACCAAATATGAGTTCTCCCAAGCTGCTGCTTTCATGTGTTCCGTGATAGTTTTCAGGGAAACCAGAAGAGGGAAGCTAGAGTAAAATGTGCTGAAAAGAAAAGGCACATTAGTTACAAAATCAATCCCATAAGGAAGTGCACAAAATAGAAGCTACCTCCCCCTCTAAATGCCTGTAAGTCACTACTGTGGACAGTTGTATACAGCCAAATAGGTAGGTGTACAGATACATGTGAATAAGCATTAATTTTAAAATTACAATCATGCTAGTTCACGCAACATATTTTATTCACTCACTAATAGATCACAGGCAGATTTCTCTACCAGCGTGTATACGCCTGTCATCTTTGGTGGCTGCCTAGTGTTCCTTTGTATGGAAGAGGGGAGATGATTGATGTCTGTGTAGCCCCTCCCCCAGCTACCCCATAGCATTTTCCCAGCAGTTGAGGGAGCTGCCGCTGCTGCTGCTAAGTCGCATCAGTCGTGTACGCCTCTGTACGACCCCATAGACAGCAGCCTGCCGGGCTCCTCCGTCCCTGGGATTCTCCAGGCAAGAACACTGGAGTGGGTTGCCATTTCCTTCTCCAGTTGAGGGAGAGCTAAGAGCTAAGAAGCAGGCCCAAACTTGCAGTATGTGTCAGGTTTGGCCAGTGCTGCCCCTGAGTTCCTTGTAACATTTCCATGTGCCTGTCCAAGCCCCAGTTGGTGATTCCTGTTTGGTGACATTGGGATCCCAAGGACTTGACAGTGCCATGGCCCCAGCTGGTGGCTCAGGCCTGGCCCGGCCTGCTCTGTGTCTATTCAGAAAAGCTGCCAGCTCTGACAGGCTCATTTTCCATCCAGTGTCCTAGCCTTTGGCCCCGAGAAAAACACTTTCCTGGCATAACCCAGCTCAACATGAGCCCAGTCTGACTTTGTCCAGTGATGTTGATGACATTGATCCCTGTCTTGCCCCCGGTGCTTTCATTTTGTAAAGTGTCTATCAGATTTTTCAAATCTTTAGCTTTAGGAATAGCCTGTAAACAGAAGCCCAGTTCATGATTCACTTATCATATTGTGCATGCGTGTGTGTGTGGCTCAGTTGCTCAATTATGTCTGACTGCAACCCCACAGACTATAACCCACCAGACT